TTGCTAGGTCGTGTAGAATTCACATTAATGTTATGTGATCATGTATACCCAATTTTACTATCACCTTTTGTTTAGAACAATGAGTTAGTGATTCATTGGTATAATTAGATCCTGTATTGTTCTCATGCTATAGCATCTTAGTATGTTCGTTCTGTTATAGTATCTTAGTATGTTCTCTTTGTTATCAAGTATTGTTTCTACCTCCCTGTATCTCTTTATAGTATGCTCTAGTATCTAGTATGAACTGAACCCCTAAACTACACCCCTTATAGTTTACTAGTATTTTACTTGAGCTGTTACTTAAAAGACTCATTTTTCTACTAAGTTATGCTGGTACTTTAAAATGGAGTTTTGTTAAACTAAAAAGTAACATAACTTTAAAAGAGTTTTTGAAATGTTTTGATCACTTATAAAGGACATAAGCAATCTTTGAAAGACAATTATATCAAATAATTTCACAACTATCATTGTGTTCAACTTGTATTCCCCCCCCCCCTTAAAAGCATTTAAAACAGTTTAAAAGATTGATTACGGGGTATGAACTCACCCTGTGTAGGTGATTCAAACGAATATGCGCGTAAGGATGAGAAGTTCCACGAATGAAGTCCCGAGACTTAACGAGTCCTAAATGACATATAATGACATATATTGACATAAATATAGTGTTTAGAAGCAACCAAATGCAAGAAAACACCTTACGGGACTAGAAAACACTTTGTCCAAGTGTTGGAATCACATGTGATTCACTTAAAGGGAGTGTACGGCCATATGGATGGGTGTGCGGCCATGGTTATGCGGCCGCACACTCATGGTAAAGAGTGCACAAAACCGTAATCCAAAGGTGGGGAGGTTTGTTAGACAATTGCTCAACAAGTGGTGAAGCTAGAAACGCATTTTGGAGGCCATTTTGGGGTCTTTTAAGGGGTGTACGGCCACACTTGGGTGTGCGGCCGCACACACCATACCAATATGAGTTCTGGGCAGTTCTAAGGACTTAAACCAAGTGTTCTTAACAAGATCTAAGCTTAACGAAAGGGTACTTACGATCCGGAAGCTCGAGAAGGTCCAAAATCGCCAAGAACAAGTGTGTGTTCTTGGTGTTCTTGGTAAGATTTGAAGATCTATACAAAATATGATTTCAAATGGATGAAATCAAAGGATGTAACTAGTTTACAAAGATTAACAACAAATCAGGAGAAGAACACTTACAAACTCGAAGATCTAAGCTGAAAATCGGATGGTAGTTGAGAGCAAAATCGAGTTCTAGGCTTGGGAGGGTGAAAAAGGATTAAAGGAGGCTGAGTTCTACCCTTTGTACACTTGAGTGTGCTGCCAGGAGAGGGGTGTGCGGCCGCACACCCAGTGTGCGGCCGTACACTCCTGAGGTTGGAGTGCAAGGCTCGATTTTGGTGCCAGAATTGTACGTGATCCATTTCTATACTCGAGGCTTGAATGTACTGAGTTTTAAACCTTTAAATGGACTCTAAACAAGGCTAAATGATAGCAGAAATGAGTCTGACACTTAGTTGAGTTGATTGGCTGGACTTTACAAGTCAAAAAATTTCGGGTTGTCACAGTTATAATCAGGTTAGTGTTTCCCTAATTCGAGTTCTGCCGTCTAGACTGTGGGGAATTACAATCATGGAAATTATGATCTAACCATGGCAACGTAGTTGAAAAGGATTATCTAGTTAGATATTATCTAACTTAAAAGAGCGTTATAAGTTTTTCCGAAGCATCAACTGTATTGAATGCTAAGTATGCAGTGATCCTTAAGTCGTATTCTAAAATCAGCATTAAGTGTAAATTCGCCGTCTAATGAAGAAGAGATTAGGAACAATTTGCTCTCTTTTGGGTTGGCCATTAAGTCTGGAAAAGGTATATTCTGAAATGGGAAGAGGTAGCACGAATGAAAGAAAAGTAATCGAAGTGTTGGCTATTAAGTCATAAGGATACATACTAAGGGCAGGCAACGATGTTTTGGTGAATTTCAAATGTAAAGACTATCCAAGTGTCGTCTACACGATAAATTACGAAATGATCGAGGATCTTCATGGCTATATTTACTACTACCGTTACTCTTGTTACAATAAAACCATATTCGAAGAATGCATATATTTAGAGAGTCATTTTTGCAAGTGGAGGCGATGAAAGTTTATGATAAATTATTTCACATTGTCTAGATAGCCTTTTGAGTGTTTAGAAATGATAATTAATGTCAATGTTATCAAAATGTGTAATAATTCCAAGAAAATGAAGATACATGTGTGTTGATCAAACGAAGTAGTAAAATAATAAAGAGATTAATTAATATTAAAGGTTTAAGTCGTCAATGAGGAAATTTATATATAAATATTCATATTACAATTTTTGAAAAATTGTCCAATTGTTTACGTCCGGACAAATTCAAGATAACTAGGAGTCAGGATATTTATGAAAACAAGTTTGAGAGTTTAGGAACCCACTGAAAATCGCAAAGTAGAATGATAATTTAAGAAATGTGTAAAACTGTCGATCTTTGAAAATAGTGTATTCTTAATTTAGTGATTCTACCAAAAACAATCATTTGTAGGATAGATAATTGTAATATTTAAAGCTTTTTATGTTTTTAAGAAGAAGAGACATAAGAAAATATATCCTTCACATTTACTTTCTGGTCTTAGAAAAATGATAAGCACAAGGGTATTCCTTCTGTGTATTAATTGTAAGGAATATACAATGAAAATTACATTTTAAATCACGTTTTTGAATTTAAAACGAAAGAGTAAATTTAAATAAGGATAACTTGTTTACAGTAGATTTCAAAATAAAATCAAAATGTATATGATAAAAGACGTAATTGAATATATCCATGTTGACCAAGTTAAAATTATTCATCATGACTATACATGTATTAATTGCTCAAAACGAAAAGGTAGACTTTTAATCTGTATACGTACGAATATGGTACCAAGGGAAGTAGATTACACCAGAACAAATTTAGACCATACATTATGTTATTATTATTGGTGTGGGAGATCTCAAATCAGATAGAGAGCAAGAATTCAAGTGCGGGGGAAAGAAAAGGATGGTAGTAGCAGCAATGACTGCTATTGATAAAATTTTAAGGACAATATACGTAAGTAGATTTAAATCTTAGGTAGTAGCCCCTGTTTTGAGAAAACTTTCCATTTTAGCCCCTCTTAATTTGATTTTTCGCATATTTGGACCTAAATAGCCGAAAAGCCCAAATTTTAGCCCAATAACTAAAATTTGTATTTTTAGTCCTTTAAAAAGCATAATATTGATAAAAACTCTTATTTTAACTGTTTTGACTCTTTTGATCCTTGTAAAAACCGTGAATGACATCTTTTCCCCCATCTTTTGTTCATTTATCAAAAATAGCCCAATAACCAACTTTATGTTGTAGTATGCTTATTATAACCTTGTATAGTAGTTTATCTTGACATGTTAAGTGAAATATATCCTAGATCACATATTTTTCCTTCTTGAACTATAGATCTCGAAATATCTTTCATTTTTAGCACATATTTACCACATAAACACAAGAAATCACACATAACATACAAATACACATAGATCTACACATTTTACTTGTATTCTCCCCCATAAAACATATAAAAGCCGAAAATAGAGGGGTATGAACTCACCTTGCTTTGATGTTCACGGTTTTGAAGAAGAAAGGATGAAAATGATGAGATCTTTCGGCCTAACAAGCTTCTTGGGTGGATCTTGAACTTAGTATGTTTCTAGGAGTATGATCATGAATTTAAAATGGTAAGAAGAGTGAATGAGTGTAGAAAGGAAATATGTGTGCAAGATCTTACCACTAGAGTGTAGCTTGGAGTGATTTTTGGATGAAATCTCCTTGAAATGCTTCTAATTCTCGAAAAGTCTTGATGAGAGGGAAGGGATGTTCTTGAATGTTTTACTTAGAGAGAGTATGAAATGTTTTGTGTGTGTGTGTGTTGATTCTCGACCGCAAGTATTAAGAAGAAGAATAGAGAGAGTGAGGTGACCATTATAGATGCATGTTGGTCCATGCATGGAAGTATGAAGTGTAATAGTGAGGTGGAGCCTTCTGGCACTCCGGAGCTTTCCTCTAGCAATTAGAAGTTACTAGGACTTTGGGAGAGGTTTAGAGAGAAGTTAGAGAGAGAGAGAGAGAAGGGTTATGGTGTGAGGAAAAAGGGTGAGTTTCGCATGGTATTTATAGGCTGAAAAATGGCCAAACTCCGAGAGTTTGAGTCTCCAACTCGTCGAGTTGAGTGCCAAGGGTCACCATCTGGTGGCAGGGCGTGGGGAGGAAGCAATGGTTCAGATTAAGCAACATCATCCCTTTCGCAACAACACCCTTCCGAATTCTAAATTTCGTAACTTTTGCATATGAGCTTCATTTTCGACATTCTTTATATCCACGTGTAGGTATTGACAAGATCCACAACTTTCCTTTTGACTCCGTCGGCTAATTCCCGACCGATTTTAAATTTAGCAGTATGAGAAAATTCATTTAGGTTGTATCGGCTAAAATCGATCGATCTAAAATTCAAATTTCGGGCTGTGCATTGCTATGCTAAATCTTATAAAAATCATAACTTCTTCATACGAAGTCAGATTTGAACGTTTCTTTTTATGTACGTTCTCAGTTTAACATATACTACGACTTTTATTTAAATTACTAAGGCTAAAAAGTAATTTATCAAAAAATCACTTTTTACGTTACGCGATACCGTGCAACTTCGACGGGTCATAATTTTTTCGTTATAACTCGGACTTCGGCGTTCTTTATATGTACTGAACCATTGTGACATATATTATAATTTAGTTAAAATTATTTATTCTAAATAATCTTCTATCAAATAGTCATTTTTGACCTTTGTGACATATACGGCGTTACAATTTTATTACTTTGTAAATTAGTCTCCACAACTTAACACACAACTGTCGGTATCCATTGATTTCACTTTGATCACAAATATAGAAATTATATAAAAGATATTTGGCACCATACAGTGGGAGGTCCATGCTTTTTTCTTTTGAGAAAACATAGATCTACCACGCGTTCTTTATTTTCACAATTTTCTCTAGGACTTTATAATTGTTTACAAGATATACACCATTCTTTGGAGAGTTCGTTTTAGGGGAAAATGTGAACAAATTGATTACATATTTATAAAGGATCGATCAAAATGTCATCTGTTTTGGAAATTGAGGTACTTGATGGCATAGACGAAAATGAAGAAAAACAGAAGTATCCAACCAATGTGAGCTGTTGCCACAATTGGAAGGAAGTCATACTCATACCCAAATCTCTCGTTAATGAAGCTTTTCAACGTCATGTTGCCAGCTCCAGGCACCTCGAGCATGTCATCTTTCTCACCGATTTGGCTGGTAATGAGACCATAGACTGTCCAGCTTAGTGGGTTTGCCCAGTAATACCACCTGCACCATATTGGTATTTGCTGCAATATGGATACATAGTTTGTTAGGTTCTAAGTGTATATGTCATCAGATTCATTAATCACATGTAAAATGGTCTAAAGTACGTAATCCAAAATATATTCTTATGTTTACAACACTTAGATTGTTTTATAATGAAATTTGATTAGTTATAGTAATAATTTTGTAAATCTTATTTAATGTTTATTTATTCATTTATGAAAATAATACAAAAAAATGTTTTACAACACCTAGTGTAACCCTAAGACTATAATAACTGATATATAATTCGATAAGAAGAAAGAAAAAGGAAATATATATATATATCTACAACTAAATCGTTACCTATCTCACCTAAACACAAGGTCACACTCGCGCCACATATCATAATTCTAGTGGCCTTTTTTTCAACAAAAAATTTATAAATTGTACGTTAGAATACATATTTCAAATAAAAAGATAAAATACACTAAAGTCTCATATATATATATATATATATATATATAGATATATTATATATATATATATATATATATATATATATATATATATAGATATATATATATTAACCATCTTAAATAATAATAATAATAATGGAATCGCATTTTCTATAAGACCAATAATATACTTTCATATACTTTTTGTGTATATTTTAACAATCTTAAAAATAAAAATAACAAAGATAATAGAATCTTTATTTTTTATAAATAAAAAGTGTTTATATTTTTTATATACTTCAAAATAATACATGTTTGGTTATAAAGCAAAATAATTCTTAATAAAAGATTGAGTTTTTTTTGGGTTTCTAATAAATCATAAAAAAAATTTAAACAACAATTGGGTTAATTAGTCAACAATGATACTAGTTTAAGAATATGTTTGACACACCAGTTAAAAAATTAAGTCTATATGATAATCTAGCTACCTGTTAACTAACCAATAAGATAAATAAAAAGACATTTAGCTAGTGTTCATTTGAAAACTAACCTATAAGAAAGATGCAAATATAAATTACATAAAAGGACATTTAGATATACATAATTAAATAAGGTAAAAAGCCTGGTTAGCTTATTAATAAGCTATCTTATTATTATTTTTTTAAGTAGTGATAAATTACTTTAATGGTTTCACCAAATATTTGTTGAAATAAGTTCAAAAAAATAAGCTATGTCCTTCAAACACAACTTAATAGTTTTAAACCTATTCCATAATTTACTCCCTATAATTATACTTTTGAAGAAAGAAGGCGATAAAGAATGATATACCGGTCGTGGGATGATGAAACCAGAGAACAAGTTCCAAAGGCAAATGAAAAAGTAAATCAAAACAGCAGAAATCTGAGGAGCAGGTGTCAATGCCATGGTCGCCATTCCAGATAAGGTGAAGGCGATGAAACTCATCAACAAATAGTAGTAGAACCACAAGAACTTGGCAACAGTCCACCCGAGTCCCATCATCGGGTACAAAAAGAAGACATAAATACTTGTTTGAATTGCAATGTATGTAGACTCTATTATCACCTACAAAATGCCAAGCATTAAATCGAGTTATTATTTCTCATTTGTAACGTAAAGTACTTCCGCTTTTCTTATTCATTCATTACCTGAGCAAGTGCATAAGGTGAGGATGAATACATCCCTGCAGCCCTTTCCCGATAGAAAACTGTTCTCTCGACAACAACAACTGGTTGCACAGCATTTTGGTTGATTGCTCCAAGGAAGAGAACAACAGCATACAATGCCCCTAAGAAATCTTGCAACTCTTGTAGTTTTTGTCTATTTACACAAACTCACAGTTAAGTTGTTGATTAATGCCATATATTAGGTTGAGAGAAGAGAAAGGAAATGAATTAAAGTATGTGAAGCTAAAAATTTATGATTAATAAGTAAATTAAGGGCCTTACATCTTTTCACCCTTTTTGAAGAAAATTGCACCAAATAGACCAGCAATCACAATGGTGGTGATAAATCGAATGAGATTATACTGTGGGTTCCTCCAGTAAGACCAGTGTTGTTTCCACAAACAAGCTTTACACTGTATGATAAACGGTTGTGTGTACTTGGTTTGGAAAAAGAGATCTTGGGAGCCACTTGGGGGTGCACTAAGCTCCCTTATTAGTTCTTGGTTGTCCCTGAAAACATCACATAACATCCATGAAAACATATTAGAAATACAAAAGGAAAACAATCATATGAGAAATATAGATTTAGAACTTACTGATAAAGGGTGGATTTGGCATAAATCTGAGCATAGTCAACATTAAGTTGATGTTCAACTGAAGAAGAAGTCACCTCCAACACCCATGTAGCAGGATTATAACCATTCCTGATCCTTGGAACTCCTGGAATAGCCTATAGGAAGTGACTTTTAGGAAAACTTTAACTTAAAATCTAAAAACTATGGCTAATATTGCTTAATAGAAACTTATATAACAAACTCACTTGAAAATATTCCACAAGCTTATGAGATTGATGGCCTAAAGGTCCTGCATAGATAATTTGTCCTCCAATCTTCATCAAAAGTAACTACAAAGTGAAGGATCACAGTCAGATCAACATCGACGCCATTAACAATGTCAATAGTTTATTTGCTACAAACCTCGTCAAAAGATTCAAATATATCTATGCTTGGTTGGTGGATTGTGCAAACAACAGTCCTCCCAGTGTCAACTGTGTTTCTTACAGTACGCATAACAATGGCTGCAGCTCTAGCATCAAGACCAGATGTTGGTTCATCTAAGAAAATGATGGATGGGTTTGCCACTAACTCCACAGCTATTGTTAACCTCTTTCTTTGTTCTATTGTAAGACCATCTACTCCAGGAAGGCCAACCAGAGCATCCTTTAAGGGATTAAGCTCAACTAGTTCCATCAATTCATCAACGAATATCTATAGTTCACAAATATATCGTCAATAAAATGTTGAACAAAAGCATACAAGATTCTGATTTATGATCAACGGATGTATTTAATAAGATTTAGATGACAGGAAAGACAGTAGGTAATAAGTAAATACCTTTCGTGTTCTTGTATTTACATCTGAAGAGAGACGTAGCCATGCAGAGTATAGAAGAGATTCATAAACAGTGACATTTGGTGAATGAATGTCATTTTGTTCACAGTAACCACTAACACGAGCAAATGTTGATTGGTTCTTTGGGTATCCTGAAATGAAGATGTTTCCTTCAGTGTATCCACCAGTCTTACGTCCTGCTAACACATCCATCAAGGTTGTCTTTCCAGCACCACTAACACCTATAAGTGCAGTCAATATCCCCGGTCTAAATGCACCACTAACATCCTTGAGCAATTGCAACCGATTATCTTTAACCTCTATAGCCTTCATTTCCTGGTCAAATGAATGTGATAATATGTGATCAATGTTGAATACAATTTATTCATTTTTGTATAAGGAAATACATAGAATGAATGAAAATAGTGAATGAAGAGTTGTAATAAAGTGACTAACAAAAGGTGTATCGATGTAGTAGTTGACATGGCTGAAAGCAAGTGAAAGAGGCTGAAATGGCAAAACCATTCCTCTCCTTTCCATACGGTGAGCAACAATAGTCGAATCATTTCTTCTTGAAGTTCTTCTCACGTCTGCCATATTAATACCTTCAAGATAATTTACATGTCAAAATAATTTGTCATATTTTCTATTGAAATTGTTCCGAAACTCCTTTCTTGCATAAGCAATTTGTTGCTTTCACTGCAACCTTTTTTGGATGTGTTGTGTTTGACTGTGATGCATAAGAGCAATACTTTCCTTGTATGCAACATTTTATCTATTGATGCTGTGTGTTTGTTAGTTTATATGGAATTTGAAAATACCATTAATTTTATGGTTATTAGGACTCTGAATTTATAAGAAATGTTTCCTTTTCTTGTAGAGTTTTTTGTATGATTAGGATTCTTATAAGGTTATTATATAAATCCCTTTAGATATCATTCATTACTACATCTTCTTTCTCTCCTTTCACCTCAGAGATTTAGCATCAATGTAACCTTTCAATATGTAGTGTTCGTTCATAGTGTTTCTTTTTTTCTTCAGGGTTTCCATTTTCTATCGCGGTGTTTGCATGATTGTTCGATTGTGTTTCTTCCACATTACTTATTTTATAACATTTTTATCCTTGCTAGGTAACTTATTTCCCTCGACTTCAACCTCTTTTTTATTAATTAAGGTTAATCATTATGATAGCAAAAGAAAATGCTCACCTTCATAAACCTCCTTTGTGTTAAGGCGATTGTCTGCATTCTTTATTTCATTTTCCTCTCTAATAACAGGTTTAGCATCAACAAGAGCTGAAAGAAAAGGAACCATAGAATCAAAGTATGAAGTATGAAACTAGAGAATAATATGTAATGCAAAGTAACATACGATTCAGGAAAGTTAGAGCTAGAATAAATAATATGTTGAAGACAATCGAAAACCCAAGAAGGGCCCCAAGACATATCCAGAACCAATAGTCCTTTGTAAAAAAGCTTCGTGATTTCAGAAGGGCTTCTCCAATGGTTGATGCATTAATTCGCGGATCTATGTTGGGCTGCATAAATAAGACTTAAATTAAGGTGCAATGGAAAGCATATTAACAACTTCTATATAGTTCTGCCTTTAGTTATAGGGAAATATACAAAAAAAGGTACTATATGTTGAGCATTTTTTGGTTTAAATATTAGGTTTTATTTTGGCCAATAAAAGCCACCCTATATAGACAAAAATTGACCACTTTGGCATGCTATAGTGTAACATCCTAAATTTTAGGCGAATTAAAATTTTAATTAAATAATAATAATAAATTATTTAACATTTAATATATAAAATAAAATAATGAGACTTATAATTTTAAGCTTAATTAATTATCAAAGTTATGTTATATAAGTAAGTTGGAGGGACTAAATTTGACAAGTTTGTAAAATATGAGTTCACTTGTGTAGCTTTTAGAACCAAAATGCTTTATAGATTAAGTAAATGTTAGTTTGGTAAGTTAAGGAGTTAGTGAATAAAGGTCAATGTGATCAAATTAGAAAAATGGAAGACTGGGGTTAAAATTTATTAGTCACCCAAAATATAAAAATAAGCTCATTCTCCCCTTTCATTTGAGGAGATAAAAAGCAATTTATTGCTTCTCAAACTCTTTATTAACTTTTCCGAAAAGTAGGAATGCCTGGCTTTTTGAAAAAAATATTTTTTTTTCACTGAAAAGTTAGTGTTTACCAAACACCTTTTTAACTTATTGGTTTTTGAAAAGCTAATAGCTCAACACTTTGAGATCTTTTGAGAGGATGAAGATGGTGATTTCTACATATTAAGGTTTTTGTTGGATAGTGATTAAAGCAGCGTTGAAGAAGCTAAGCTAGGAAACACCTTTGGAAGTCGTTAAAGGTAAAGAATCTAACTTATCTTCATCCATTTTCGAATTAGGCTTTCACATTTTTTCTAAATCTGAAAATCAGTTGTATCTAGGATATTTTAGTTGAGTTTTTAGTTATTTTCTATCTCTAGAACGTTAATATATGTTCATTCAACTCATATATTGTTTGATTTGTTGTTTATGAATCAATTTTGAAAGTTCCAAACCCTAGCTACAGTGGAACTCGATTTTGAACATCATCTTATGAGTTTAATGTTACTTTCAAACTTGTTCCAAGTTTTACAAATTCCTTTTGATCAAGTAAATCCATGATTGTTAGGAATTTTCACTTATTTATCTAATTGAGTATTTCAAATTGACTTGTGGCTTCAATGAAGTTTTCACGCTTTATTCATGAATTAATCTAGATTTTGAACCATCAGAATTCCTTGTAATGTCATGAACTGAAGTTATTAGACCAATTTGAAACACATTTGGTGATGATCTAGAGTTATTAAAAGTTTTGTTGTCATTTGAAGATCATATGGTTTCTAATGAGCATAATCAAGTTTTTGATGTTACTGATCATTAGATAGTCGCATTCTTGGTCTTAAATCTTGGTGTAATTATGTTTATGAAATATAAAAGACAAGTATTAAGATTCCAGTGCACATCGAGAATCATTGGAAGTAGTTTGCGTAGTGTGGGAAGAGGTTTTTACATCTCATGACAACATTTAGACAAATCCACTCGTAATTGTGCAGGGTATAAATGTCTGCAATATGTCTATGTATGCAATATGGGATCACTATTTGTTAAATATGCATATTTATGTATGCAATATGGGGCAATTGGAAGACATGTTTGGGATTGAATTTATGTGTTTAGTTTATTAGTTATTGATATATGCTACAATTGTCGATCATAGGAGAATACCAAGTGCTTATAAAAAGGTACACTCTTGTATCTATGTACCAGTTGGTGTGGATATGGTTATTTAGATTTAAGGTATGGAATATGTGAATGAGATAAGTGATGTGCCAGTAGTTGTTGTAACAAATGGAGCCTCGATTCTTGTTATATGGTTGTACTTTCTAGTGTGCAACACAGTTAGTGAGTGTGAGTAGGAATCACCACCCATTGGCGAGACAAGAGAATTAAGGAGAAGACTTAATGGCTAGAAGTCCGACATGATGGCTAAATTCCAATAGTGATGGTTGGAAATCCGTGACGATGATGAGAACTGTGGCCGAGGAAGACAATGAGATCGGAGGTCCAAAAGTGTTGGCCAGAACTATGTTGTTGTTTGGGTATATTTCAGAAAAGATAATAGAACAATCTGATAACTAATACTGAGAAATAATTATCAAACTGCCAAAAAATCGAGCAAACGATTGAATAATAGATAATAATGATTATATATCCAATAATTATAATCAACGCGTATGCTTTAATTATATTTTCAGCCTAAAATATGTGCTCGGAAGCAAAAGGAAGCAGGAATAGCAATCGGAAGCTCAGGAATTGAAGAAAGAAGAAAAAGAGTCAAAAACATGAAGAACTCGGCGAGTCGGACGCCTACTCGACGAGTAGGCACGAACATTCGTGAAGCAATAAAAGTCTTTGCCGTACACGGATTCTTAATGAGGGACTCGGCGAGTCGGTTACTGGACTTAATGAGTCGCCCCTGTTTTCAGAAATCTATAAATAGGACATAATAGACCGAAACTAAAAGCCTCTCTGGAACCCTTGGAGACTGAATTGCGATTGAGAGTACTGCTGGAACCCTGGAAATCGAGAATCAATCCTAGCATCCAATTTTGAGGAGATCAAAAGTCACAACTTTATTCTCTTTTCTTAATTTAGTGTTTATACCATGTTTAGATCATTAAGGTCAGTTTATGAGACGTTTTCTGCTATGAATATGAGCTAAAAACTCGTTTCTTCTGTTTAGGGTAGACAACTTTATGACTGTGGTTTGCTTTTGTGGTTGGATTAATTTAATTTGGTGAATTTTGTTTGATTAAGCTTGTTAAAGATACTCATGTGTTGCCAGTAACAATTTTCTGTTAATTGTCAAGTGTATTAAGTTGCATGAACATCTCTTGATTGCTTGTCTCATATAATTTATGTGAAAACAATGTTATATGCCTAGGAATAGTGAACATGAAACTAGAGATTAATTAGAAAATAGGTAAGTCAATGTGTGAGCTTGTGTGACGAACCATCATACAAGAAGTTAATTGAATTAGCAATTTAATTAGCTAACTACAAGTCTTACTAAATCTGAATCAATAAACTAGGAAATTCATTAGTTTAACCAACTGGTCACTGTTTGAATTGATTTGTTTTCTAAGGATTAGTAATAGTGAATATTAACCTAATCACATTAATCGGTAACCAAAGATAAATTAATCCATTGCACGTGCCATAAAATCAACCATAGGAATAAGTTAGTTGAACCTGAACAGAAGTCTCATTTATTATTGAATTTAGTTGATTTTTACTTGTTAGTTGTTAATTGCTTTGTTTAAGTGTTAGATAAGAGCTTAAGTTTCTAGTCTCGCAAAACTAGATAAAACCCCTTTCCTTTTATTATTTGTGTTTTTAGATAATTTAGTAGTTAGTTTATTTACCGTTCCCTGTGTTCGATACCCTGCTTGCCTAACTATACCACCAATTGACAGGTACACTGCCTTTTGTGTGTCTAAATTATATTTAAAAAGTAGGATTAATACTAGTTAAATAAACACACATCACGTTTTTGGCGCCGTTGTCGGGGAACAGTTCAAATAGTTAATTTTATTTGCTAATTGTTATCGTTTTTATTTGTTGATTAATTTTTTTTATAATTTACTTTTTATTTTTAATTTTATTATTTATTTTCCAAATCTCGATGCTCTTGATGCTTTTCTTGAGGAAGTAGTACAGGAAATTGAGCAAGAAGATGAGGAGTATGACCCATATGAAGATTTGATGAAATTTGGAAGATGGTTAGATAACATCTTGTCTAACGAACAAGAACAATCTGAGTCACAAGAGCTAAAGTTACAAGATGAAGAATTTAATCCAAAAAAAGATTTGGAGGAGCTGGAAAGGTTGCTAGCAGAGAGGTTGAACGAAGAACAAGAACAAGCTGAATTACAGGAACCAAGTTGTGGTTTGACCATTACCACGACATGGCCCCTTGTATTTCCGGTTTGTGTTTCGAAGCATGGGGTGACGATTCCAACTTTGGAGAAAGTTCTGAAGCGCGATCCATTTCTGATTAGTATCCAACCGGTTCCAACCCCTGTAAAGATTCTTGGGTTTTATGAATTCAAGCTCGTTTGGCTAATTTTTGAAGCAAAGAGCCAAATTTTACAAATTGGTCCACCAAAGAAAATATTCAATACAACGGATGGATGGGCATTGAGTTTATTAGAAGTTTATTAAGTTGAGAGTCCAGCTCAAGACTCGCACAAAAAGAAGCGTTTGTGGGAGGCAACCCGTCGTTTGAGTTTGCTTTTCTTTTCCTTTTTCTTCTAGTATTTAGGGATAATTTAGGAATTTTAATTTTGATGTTTGTTTTCCTTTTTATTATGTGGTTCTATGTTTTTGATCTTGCAGATTTTAGGGTGAGAATTGAGCGAATAATTACAAGTGTGACGAAATTAAACTGAGGGGTCGAGTCGTTTACGAGAAGATTAGAAGATTTGAGTGATGCTATGAGTTTGTTGTTTATAATGGTCTTGTCACTGAAGAAGATAAGGAGTTGTATTGCCTTGATACTCTCTTTGAACAAAAAATTAAAGCTGAGGTAGAAAGATGAAAATACCTGATCAGAGTCAAAAACTCGTCGAGTGCATATCCTCAACTCGACGAGTTCCATACGATATTCTCGTTTTCTGCCCAAGTGACGATCCAACTCGACGAGTCTTCACTTATAACTCAGCGAGTTGTTCAGTCTTCTATTTTCAAGTTTTTGATTTGATTCCATTCAAGGCGGGCATTGGCTATATTTTTTAACTTCATTTTTGAAGTTTTCCAAGAAGCTTTTTCCTTATATTTAGAGCTGTCAACCACACGAGATTTTGACACCCAAGGCATGGATGAGCTGTTCCCATGCCAAAGTCAACTGAAGATGGAGCTTAACAAGAAGAAGATCAACCTCGCCACTTCTATCCCAGGGGAGTCTGTTCCAATTCTCTCTTTACTTTTATGTTCTTTAATTGTTTTAATATGAATAGGGGACATTGCATAAATTAAGTGTGAGGTAGGGGGTTGGTTACATTAGTTACATTAGAATCCTTGGTTTAATTTTAAAAAATTTGCATAAAAATTGATAGGGTTAATTTAGAAAATTATGGTAAAAGCAATGAGGATTCCATGCTAGTATTGTGTTTGATGATTCTTTGAAGACCCAAATGTTTAGTTGAGCCTATACACGTTCTAGTGCATTTGTGCCCCCCTTTATTCTAGTGAAATCATGGGACAAAAACATAACCTCGCTTAGTTTGAGGGACGCAACATGTTTAGCATCGTGTACTTGAAATGTATCCGGGAAGACTTATACCTTTAACCAATAAGGGTTGAAGTTGAGCGCCTTTGCTTAAGCATGTAGGTATTGAGTGAAAAAAAAAGTGAGATACATGTTGAAAAAAAAAAGAGAGAGAATTACAAGAAAAAGTTGTAAGAATTTTGGAGCAATCAAAGTATGAAGATCACAAGATCAAAATTCTGAAGAATCAAAAATTTGAAGATACCAAAAATCAAACAAAAAGGTGGTGAATTCAAGAAATCAAAGATCAAATTATCAAAGAAGTGAAGAATTCCAAAGAGCTCCATAGTGGTATCAAAAAGTTGTAATTTTCTAGATTATGTATGCTTGGGTTGCTTGACTAAAAATACCTTGAGGTTAAGAAAGTTTTATGCGGATGGATTCGGAGGGATGCATAAAATGAGCGTTGTTCAAAAGAAGTGGGCGAGTGTTTATGAGGATTGTAAGTATTTAGGATTAGGGGGGTCCGTAGGAAAATTTTAGACACAAATGCATGCGTTGCGGTCTTGGCATAATGGATGGGTTTGATTGGGATTGTCTTATGTAATGCTAGTGTGCTAAAATTCAGTTTTGCTTGGGGGCAAGCAAAAGTCAAGTGTGGGTATTTTGATATGTGCATATTTAGATATATATTTTGTGTAGAATTTTAATATTTTTTGGCTATTTTATTGCAGTTATTGAACAAAAGGTACTTAATTATGCTTTAATTATATTTTCAGCATAAAAGATGTGCTCGGAAGCGAAAGGAAGCAGGAATAGCAATCGGAAGCTCGGGAATTGAAGAAAGAAGAAAAAGAGTCAAAAACATGAAGAACTCGGCGAGTCGGACGCCTACTCGACGAGTAGGGACGAACATTCGCGAAGCAATAAAAGTCCTGGCCGTACACAGATTCTTTATGAGGGACTCGGCGAGTCGCCCCTGTTTTCAGAAATCTATAAATAGGACATAATTGCCCGAAACTAAAAGCCTCTCTAGAACCCTTGGAGACTGAATTGCGATTGAGAGTACTGCTGGAGCCCTGGAAATCGAGAATCAATCCTAGCATCCAATTTTGAGGAGATCAAAAGGCACAACTTTATTCTCTTTTCTTAATCTAGTGTTTATACCATGTTTAGATCATTAGGTTCAGTTTATGAGACGTTTTCTGCTATGAATATGAGCTAAAAACTCGTTTCTTCTGTTTTGGGTAGACAACTTTATGACTATGGTTTGATTTTATGGTTGGATTAATTTAATTTGGTGAATTTTGTTTGATTAAGCTTGTTAAAGATCCTCATGTGTTGCCAATAACTATTTTCTGTTAACTGTCAAGTGTATTAAGTTGCATGAACATCTCTTGATTGCTTGTCTCATATAATTTATGTGAAAACAATGTTATATGCCTAGGAATAGTGAACATGAAACTAGGGATTAATTAGAAAATAGGTAAGTCAATGTGTGAGCTTGTGTGACGAACCATCATACAAGAAGTTAATTGAATTAGCAATTTAATTAGCTAACTACAAGTCTTACTAAACCCGAATCAATAAACTAGGAAATTCATTAGTTTAACCAACTGGCCATTGTTTGAATTGATTTGTTTTCTAAGGATTAGTAATAGTGAACATGAACCTAATCACATTAATCGGTAGCCAAAGATAAATTAATCAATTGCACGTGCCATAAATCAACCATAGGAATAAGTTAGTTGAACCTGACCAAAAGTCTCCTTTATTATTGAATTTAGTTGATTTTTACTTGTTAGCTGTTAATTGCTTTGTTTAAGTGTTAGATAAGAGCTTAAGTTTCTAGTCTCGCAAAACTAGATAGAACCCCTTTCCTTTTATTTTTTGTGTTTTTACATAATTTAGTAGTTAGTTTATTTATTGTTCTCTATGTTCGATACCCTGCTTGCCTAACTATACCACCAATTGACAGGTACACTGTCTTTTGTGTGTCTAAATTATATTTAAAAAGTAGGATTAAAACTAGTGAAATAAACACACATCAATAGCATACTACCATGTTTTAGAAAGAGAGTGTACGAGAGAAATATGGTGTTGTTATGATATTAAAGTTATGATTTTCCCTCTGGGAGTTTCTCATTAAGCAAAATATAAATAGAACATATGACAAGACTTAGGCAAAGATCTAGATACTTATACACCTTAAGGTGTCTAACTAAACCTTTATACAAAATGTTGGCAAATTCAATGTCATAAGGTCATTTTAATATAATGGAATTTATATATTACCATTGGAGTTCAGTTCTTGATTTTATCTACAATTTAGGTGGTGCGGAGTGCATGCTTGTATAAAATGAGTTTGATATTGGTTCGGCTAAATGACGGGGGTCAAGGGGGCAGGGTCCTAGGGGTAGCTCCATCCATAATTAAAGGGAAAAAATCAATATTTAATATTCATTTGCACTTATCTTTGGTAATGAGAATAATTAAAATTCAATATAAATCTCTAGCTAGTTTGTGATTTCATATCAGTGCCTTGATCAAAAGTTGTTCCTTTTAAGGATTATCCGAGTAATATGGATTTTGTGATGTCTAGACATAGGGTTGAAATATCATATTAAAAAGTGATCGCATGATCCTTCAAGAAAGTAAACCTCTCGATTTCAAAAATGACACTTCCTCCCAAACCTTAACACAAAGAGGGTAGAATATACTGTCTAATAATTGAACAAAGTATCAAGAGAACTTACCATACTCCATCTTTTGTCAAGAAACTCATTTAAAACCAAAGCATTCTGAGCATACATCATAGGAGAAACATAGAATCCCCATGAAATCCATACCTCGCTATCATCTGAAATTAAATTATTAGATTTGTCAGTTTGCTTATGGTGTCAATATTACTTATAGGGGTCATAAACTATGTTATATATATGTATGTATGTTGTATGGATGTATGTATGTATGTTATATATATATGTATGTAGGTTATATGTATGTTTGTATGTATGTGTGTATGTTTTATGTATGTATATATGTTGTATGTATGTTATATGTATGTTTATATGTTTATATGTATGTTATATTATGTATGTATGTTTGTATGTATGTATGTTTATATGTACGTATGTATATACGTACGTACATATGTATGTATGTTATAAAATCATAATCCTGAGAAAAGAAGATACCCTTAGCCACTATGAATCCTCCAAGGGTGACTATCAACAACATAATGAAGGCCCCCAAGGTATTTGCAAGTACCTCTGTTCTTGCTATAGCAGCAAGTAATCGAAAAAGAGATAGAGCCATTTGATGTATGGAAAAGAAAGTCAAGAACTGTTGACAAAATCTAAATCACAAAAACTGTTAGATCTATGATAATATTAAATCATGAAAATCCGGATATTCTTGAAGTTTATTGATAAAACAATAATAGTTTACCTGATGGCATCTGGAGCATACCCTATTGTGTAATACGTAAGAACCACCCAAATTCCTGATTCCATTAAAGACAAAGGGATTCTAAGTAACCAAATGGGAAGAGCAAAAGCCCAGGCAGGATACAACAATGCATCTCTTTGTTTATAGAAAACTGGAAGCCTCATCACTGTCAATGCAAGCTCAGCCATCCCATTAAACATCACAATAAGCAGACCAAAAAACAGTGAGCCAAAAAACTTCCCTCCATCCTCCATATTTCCCACATGCATTTCAGTTCTAAAAAACATCGCCATGCCTACCAATGACATAAATGTCAACTGGAATGTCTTAAATATATAAAGCACTGAGTTACGCTTTGATAACAACCATTCCCTATCGAAGCATGCCTTAAGTAATTCAAGATTAGATATGCCATACTTTTCTTTGAACAATGCATCTAAATGTGTTTTAGATTTGTCATAAGGAATATGAATATCGGTTTCAAGTTTTTGTCCAATATGGAAAGACTTGAATGCTTGTGAAAACTCAGGGATTGTAATGAATCTGTATGGTTGATCTGCTTTAAACCAATATTGCTCTTGGTCTTTCTTTGATGTAACCTCTTGAAGGAAGTCAGCTACGCCTTTCCTTTCAGGACATTTAAATCCTATCCACTCAAAAAACTCAAGGACATTTTCGCGAGGACCTTGATAGACAATCTGGCCTTCTGACATTAGTATGACATCATCGAAAAGTTTATATGTCTCGGGGTCAGGTTGCAAAAGAGATATCACCATAGTTAAATCCATTACATGTACCATTTGTCTTAAGAACTTGGTGATGCTATAAGTAGTGGAGCTGTCTAGTCCTGTTGATATTTCGTCCATGAAAAAGACATTTGCTGGCCCAACTAACATCTCTCCTGTATCAATTTATAAGCAAATGTAGCAACCAAATAGTATCAATACTTTTATCATTTGATTTGTAGTTTTTTACATCTTATGTAAATTAGGTGGAATATGAGAAATTGTAATTGTAAAGGGTTCTTAATTTACCCTACAGTTCTATGAAAAGAAGTCAAACGAGTAACATAAAAAAGTTTTAAATGAATACACTCACTACTCATAGCTAGGTTTCATAAAAAAAATGGAGAACATACCAGTGGTGACACGTTTCTTTTCTCCCCCAGAGATACCTCTTCTCATTTGATCACCAACCATAGTATCAGCACAAGTTTCCAATCCAAGTATCTATAAAAACGAAAACATTAGTTTCTAATTACCTTAAGTATTCAACAAAAACCTTATAGAGAACTAACTCAAAAAAGTTTTATTCTAAAGAATAATATTAAGTTTATATAACTGATGCAAAACTAATTGAGGAGTTCAACCAAACATTTTTCATTATCAAAATTTCATCCATAAGAGAAAAATAAATACTCTTTTTTTTACGCAAGAAAGGGAAGGGAGAATTGAAATTGGGACAGTGGAGTAGCATAGGTGAGAGGTGAGAGGTGAGTGGTGGCTTAGAAGGCAATGGAGCAGCATAGGTCTCATTTTCCTTTTTACTATATATATGAGCTGCTAAGTACATCATTTGCCCTTTTTACTTTATGATCGATTGTATCTACTTTCTATTTTCTCCTATGTATCTGTTACTAATTTCTATTATATTTTCTTGTATTTGAATCTTTTCCGATTAAAGTTATTGTTGTTGTTGTTAAAGGATTCTGAAAAATATAAATCTTCTATCTAGAATGTGTACTTATTGCTCTTTTGCTAGTTTGCAAAAAAAAAAAATCTTGCTTCAATAAGAAACCTTGAGAACATATTCAGTGACAAAATTGGTTTCTCTTGCTGGGTTTGTTGTGGCATTCATAAATGCCTCGATATCTGGATCAGGTTTGGTTCCTGCATTTTTTTCCATCTTCAAGATTTCTGCAAGTAGTTTGTATCTTAGCCCAACACCCAAGCACCTTCCTGAAAAATCCAACGTTTCTCTCACTGTCATCTCCCCAGTATGAAGATTATGTGGACTTATATAAGCACAAGTTCTTTGAGGAGTAAATTCTGATAGTTGATGACCACAATAGCTGACATTTCCAGACACCTGCATGCTTTCACAAACCAACATTTAACAATGAAACAACAAAAGGGGATTAAGAAGAAGCTACAAACGATTTGCAAATAAATATATTACTTTGAGATCATGATCCATTTTCCCTGCAAGTGCTAGCAGCAATGAGGTTTTACCTGCACCTGGTGGACCTAGAAGTAGTGTCATCCTGTATTTAATCTTAACTCCTTAATAGGAAAATGAAAATGATATCTATAAAAGTAGAAGAAAAGCAATATGAGATGATCATTGATCCATAAAAGATAAAATATTAAGAAATTCAAATACCTTGATGGTTTGATGATCCCACTAATGGATTGAAGGATCTTCACTTTTTTCTTCTTGGAAGGAGCGAGCCCAATAAATTGAAGTGTGTTCTACAAATTTATTTGAGATATAACTATTAATGTGTCACTGGAAATTTGGTGACCTGAATAGATAACCCGGCCTAAAAGGAAGTCAAACAAAATCGAATGGACTTTTTTAATTATTACGTATTTCCATGTATATGGGCGTGACCCTATAGCTGCTAGGGTTTTACAGTTATAAATATTCATAGCTAGGGATTCCAATGTAAATACTATGAAACAATCTGATAATTGAAGAGTTCTTCGGTTCTATCCATGGATGTAGATCACATCGAAAGAGCCATGTTATATCCTTGTTTATTATTGTTTTCTTGCATAATACGTGATATTAAAGTTGTCGTTGTTCGAGCGGCAAGATATGTTGATTGAAGGATGTAGTTTTACATGTTTGATTTGGAGAGATTCAATGGATCAAATGATTTGACGTTGTAAAAGGTGAAAATGAAATCCATTTGGGTTCAACATGTTTGTGCGGCTGCATCATAAGGAGAGGCAAAATTTCCGAAGGAGATGGTGACATATGCAAAGGTGAATATTCTGGGGAAAGCACATAGTTCGAATGTGTTATGTCTAACTGATGAAGTGTTACGGGAGGTTATTGATCAAACGACTTTTGGTGGGCGTTGAGAGAAACTAAGCGACAAGTATCGAAATAATTCTCTCATGAATCGGCTATATTAGAAACAACGTTTGTACATCCTTCGGATGTCTCAAAGTACTTAGGTAAAGGGTCATTTTGATATCTTTAATATATTATCATGAATTTACCAATTGTCGAAGTTAAGTTTGATGAAGAGGATCAAGATCTTATTTTGTTGTGTTCTATATCGAATTTATTTGAGTATGTCGATGATACCATGTTGTATGGTAGAACTACAATCACCTTCAATGACGTGATGGATTCTTTGATGTATAAGGAACTAATGCATAGGGTTAATGAAGAAGGTTCCAATTCAAGTATGTTTGTTGGTAGAGGAAAACATAAGAAAGAGAGGGTGGAAATTAGGGGAAGTTAAGTTCCATATCTAACAATACTAGTAAGGTTAAATGTTATGGGTGCAAGGAATAAGGACATATTAAAAGAGTTTATCCACAGTGAAGGAAGGGAAACAGTAAGGCTGAATCAAGCAACAAAGTTAGTGTTGATGTGGTTCAAGATAGTTTTAATGACGGTGTAGATATGGTTCAAGTAAAATCGCATTGAGGACGCACGTATTTTATGAAATTTATTGATGACTTCTCTAGGAAAGTTTGGTTGTATCCTCCCTGGTTATTCATAGCAGGTTCATCAAACTAGCAAGGAATAGCTTAAAAATACGAATTTCAAGATCAACAAAGGGAGCAAGAGTCTAGAGATGTTGGTGCTGAGAGAGAAGAAAATAAGGAAGAAACTATGTGTAGTAAAGAGAAGGCGGTAAAAGAACTTTTAAAAGTCAATTTGATATGTTGGATGTGCTAATACCCATGACATCGGTTATGTAGCATTTGCATTGGCAAGTAGAGAAAATATTGATAAAAATGAGCCTTGATGATAATAAGAGGTTGTAGCAAGTAAAGAAGCAACAAATTTGTTAATGAAAAAGAATGAAAAAATGCAATCAATGGAGAAGAATTAATAATAGAATCATGTTCTATTACTAAAAGGATCAAAACCAATGGGATGCAAGTGGGTATTTAAAAGAAAAGAATAAATCTCATAGTTAAACCTATAAGATTTAAGGAACGGTTGGTCGCAAAGGGATTCTTAGAGAAAGAAGTAATCGACTATCATTAGGTTTTCTCAGCTGTCGTGAAGCACAAAACAATTCAGTTTCTATTTAGCCATGGTAATTGCATTTGCTTCACAATTCAGTTTTTATTAGCCATGGTGAGTGCATTTGATCTAGTTCGATGTAAAACCCACATTTTTTCATGGCAATCCAAATGAGAAGATTTACATGTCTCATCCAGAAGGTGTTCTTGATTTAAAAAAAAAACAATCTTATATGTTTGCTAAAGAAATCTCTTTGTGGTTTAAAGGAATATCCAAGATAATGTTACAAGAGATTTGATTTTTTATTTCTTTGCATGGCTACATTCAAATCCAGTTTGATAATTGTGCTTACTCAAAGGAATATTCTGATTGTACATACATATATTTGTTATTATATGTGTATGATGTGCTAATTACAACGATGGATATGGCTGAAATTAATGATATTAAGACACTATTGGAAAGTGAGTTTGAGATGAAGGATTTATGAGATGCAAAAAAAGATATTAAGGATTGATATTTGGAGGGACATAAAGGCAAGATATTTATTCATATATCAACAAAGAAACATTGAGAATGTCTAGCAATCATTCCATTTTTTATCGGTCCAAATTTGTTGGGACTCCTTTAGTATCACACTTCACACTTGATCGAAGTACAATTCCAGGTGCAGATAAGGAAAAAGGTTATATAAGCATGATTCCATATTCGAGTGTTATTGAAAGTCTCATAGATTCTATGGTATGTACTAGACCTAATTTGGCTCTTGCGGTTATTGTGGTAAGCAGGTTTATGGGTGATCTAAAGAAAGCTCACCAAATATGTTTTGGAAGAAAAAGGTTCTCTATTCAAAAGATAGATACCAAGGAGAATCTGGATGATATGTTGACAAAGTCATTTCCTTCGAAGAAGTTCAAGAATTGCTCTTGGGGATCCTTGATGGTTGAATATAATTCAAGTCAAGGTGGAGATTGTTAATGTGTGATTTAGGATTTGGTGAAATGTATGGATAAGTCAGCCCAAAAGGATGTAAAGAAAACCCGAAGGGAACTTGTTCGTTATTTTGTATTTCTGTGTATATGGGCTCGACCCTATAGTTGATTAGGTTTGAAAATTATAATATTCATAGCTAGGGATTCCAATGTAATAACTTTAATACATTTTGATAATAAAAGAATTCTCCAACTTATGCCCGTGGACGAGGGTCACATCGACCAAACCACATTAAATCATTTTGTCGTTCTATAGCTTTCTTGAGTAACGGTAACAAAAATTAATATTTATATATAAAAACTAGGATAAATGAAGGAAAATTGTACCTCGATTGAATTGAAGGTGACATTATACAGAGAAGGAAGAGCTCTGTCACCGACATATCCATATCCTTCAACCAACAAATTCTCGTATCGTACTTCAATCTTTGGTATGAACTCATTCCCTACCCTACACATATCAATTTTAAGAAAGTATCTTTTTATTATTTTGGAAACTATCCAAAGCTACAAAATTACATATACGTGCTTTTAAAGATTCAAGAAGGATTATGAGCATCGAAATATATGGAAGATATGTAAGGATTAAAGTTTTCGAGAAACACAAACACGATAATGAAGATGCCGAGAATATTAAAGAACACAATAATTTAACATGGTTTATTTGACACCATCGACATAGATTGGCCCATAGTCGTACTTGATCCCTAAATTATTATTCCATTCTGAGATTCAAAATGTATAACTCTATCTAATCACCAAGTACCACAACAATATGGAGATATTTTCACTTGTTTTTTTTTAAAAAAAAATTATACTGTCTTATTTTTTATTAGACAGAAAAACTAAATATATTAATATTCAAAATTATGTATGTCCTATATAAATAGACAAACATATATATATATATATATATATATATATATATATATATATATATATATATATTGAATTTAAGCTAAAAGAATATTCTTTTTTCATTACTTCTCATTTAGATTCAAACATGAAAAAGTATATCTAGTATTTACACATATTAATTAATATAAAAATAACCATTATATATAAGTTTTTAAATACTTCTTAATCATTCACGTTGAATTTGAAGAAATTTACTTATAAATATAGTAAATTTATTTGTATTTGATCAAAATGGTGAAATTGTAACAAAAACACAGTCAAAAAAATTTATTTAAATTCATATATATATATATATATATATATATATATATATATATATATATATAGAGAGAGAGATAGGTTCAGGTGTTCAAAATAATTATTCTGTGATTGTATGCATAAATGTGACCAATCAAAATTAAATAAATAATTAAATAATTAAATATACTAATAAGGATAGATTAGTAATATTACATATACGTATTAATTAATATCCAAAATAAAAAAATGATATCCTTTATTTAAGGGATGGATTCCTTAAATCTGGCTTCCATCTCAATAAACCTAAACTACGCTCTGATCTTTTTAGGAGGCGCCGAATCAGCCTCCACCAAGCCACCATTATCGTCCACCTCCCCATCGGATTCAGTTCTTGTTTTTTCTGCATCTGATCGGTGATCAGTAGTTCACGGAGAACCAACAGCCTACGAGACGGTGGTCGGCGGTGGGATTGTAACCGGTGGAAAGATTCTTAGAATCAGTTTTAAAGTTTTGTGGGGAACTTTCTCGTGATGCCTCCACCTCATCCTGAAGAAGAACCTGCTTCCTCCTTTCTACGCTAAGTTTCCAGTCGACGTTTCTCTCTAGCGACGCCCACCTCCTGCCAATCTTCCGGTCGCAGCCTATCCGCCAACGCCGCCCCTCCTCTAGAAAATTAGTAAGTTTCTCTGCTCAATCTATGAAATCGATTTTTCTGAAACTGAAATTGAAATCTGAAATCGATTTTCAAACTTTCAAATATGAAATCGATGAATGATGACGGGATGAAAGATTTTTGGACTAAATTGGTTTCTATCCCGTATTTTACTGATCCTGCGTGGTATCAATTTTATGTGTCTTTGTATTTCAAATTATAGGAAAGTTTTGCTGCATATAGGGTCGAAATTGGTTATATGTTAATTTAAGAATTGTTCAACGTCAGAGGTTTAGAACTTCAATGAATGTCTTGAACCATATACCTTTATTGAGAGCTTGGTTTCTCCCTAGTTTGATAACTTTTGAAAATTTTATTTTACTTGGATGAATGTGTACACAATATTACTCTTAAGTTGATAAACTTTTGAAACTTTGATTTAATTTGAATATTTGATTCACATTTTGATAATGACATTTAGAAATCGTAATTTACTTTTTACCCTTGGAATTTGCTACTAATTTCACATGCTTGATCTTTTGTTTGATTATGTTAATATATCTTTGTAATGATTCATTCATACTTTTTGTTTTCTAAATTGAAGGCCATTTTTTGAAGAATTATGTGGATTATTTGTTATGCTTTGATGTTCATCAGACCCGGTAAATATGAATGGAAGAATTACAGTGAGCTATTTTGTTTTATGTTTCACTGTTTTATAATTCACTCTAACATCCTATATACTCACGTTTTTGTATCTCATATGGGTTTTTGTATTTGCTTTTTTTTTCTTGGGGCCTATTTTGTTTGGTAATTTTTTCAGATTAAGAAATCGATACTTACCATTTGGCTTGTTTTATGATAATGTCAAATAAGTGTTTGTTGAAATGCCTAAAAAAGAATCTAACCATTTGGTATGCATTCTGTCAGAATTAGTAGCAACTCGTGTGGTCTAGAATTGTCCTTACGTATTATGATCATATTCTATTGCCCTAATTATTCTTTCAGAATTACAACTCACATTGCTAATTTTAAATGTTGTATGCATTCTGCCAAAGTTTAAAATGTCATATTCTGTTAGAATTAAATGGTAATTGCACTTTAGATTTAATGATTCTTTTAGAATTTTTTTTCTTATTATCTTTTTTTTGTAATAGATGTTTCTGTCGAAATGCCACTTATTCTGACAGGATATGATTTCATGACAGTTATTCTCATAAAATGTTATGGTCAAGGGCACGAATGAATGACTTGAAGACCTTATAGAAATGGGTTGAAGAATGAATCAAAGATTCATAACACACAAAATATAAGAATGTTTTTATTTTATTTTATTTTAAGAATTACACTTGTTATTTTTTCAGAATGTTATTGTTCAAGAATGTTTTTTTGCATCACAATCATACAATGTAATTTTTTGATAAATTATTATTTCAAGAATCGGTTTTGTCTATTCCTTCATAATATACTTCGTTATGTTTTCTTCTTATTTATGGTTTCTTAAAAGATGTCATAAACCGCCATTCTAAAAGAATGTCATTCCAACGGAATAAAATCCGGTATAATTAAAAATTATGTTAAATTTGAATTGATTAAAAAAATTAGAATTTTTAAATCTGGAGAATTAATTATCCCTAAAAATATGGAATTTTCCTTTTTAAAATTTATTTCAGTTGACTAAAATATCCTTATAGTGAAATTAGATTGTATTTTTCAATTATTTTTAATTCAATAATATTTATTAATCACTTTCTTAAAATATCTAAAATGATTGGCCCACAATCATTCATATAATAATTAGTTTTAATAAAATAACCTAAGCATATATATATATATATATATATATATATATATATATATATATATATATATATATATATATATATATTTCATCAACTTTACATGTATATTATGATATGTCTGGATCAACAATCATTCACGTACCTATTTGTCATTTATAATCATCAATCATGTACATATTTTCTATTTGTCATTTATAATCATCAATCATGTACATATTTATCTATTCATATGTAAATAACAATCATGTACCACATAAATTGGCATATATTATACGATTTTTATATATGATGGTCATTCAAATTCAGTTTTAACTATTTAAAATTATATTTTAACGAGCAATTAACGAATGATCAATAATTGTTGAAAAAATAAGCACATTGGTCATTTACAATTTCAATTTTCTTTTATAAAAATCCATCATAGTTTATATTCATAATTTGTATATAAACTAAAAAAAAGAATCGTTTTTATATATCAACATAAATGTCTATTTATAGTGTTAAAAAATATGAATTTTGATATATTTTTTTTACGATACAAAATAAACCTAAAGAACAAAAAAAATGGGTTTTAATAATCTATTGCATTTGTGTCCCAAACAAGACTTGAACCCGTGACTTCAAGAAAAGACAACATTTAATATTGTTAGGCTAAAATTGTTTATATATATATATATATATATATATATATATATTATATATATATATACACACACACACACACAAGAAACTAATGGACTCGCATTCAACAGATAAAAACAAAATTCGTTTCGTTTCTTTTTTTTTTATTGAAAAAAACCAAATATACCAAAAATTCAAGGTTTTTTTTTGTCATCTTTCCATAAAGATCCAAATAGTTATTTAAAAGAACTTTTTTCCATGTGTTTTTGATTCCTTTGTACATCAACTACGTTCACATTTACTTGTTAATATCAACTGTATTATATATTTATCGAAGATAATTCACATTTAAATAGTTGTTGGGTATAAAAATCATTTAAATTTATCTAATTTTTAGTCCCATATCACATTTGGATGACAAATATTAATGATAAATATCTAAATGAAAGATTGTTAATCAAAAGTTATCAAATTTACAGGGGGTTTGAATAAAAATTCATATTTACATGAGGATCTAACTAAGTTAAATATGAATATATGAAGTTAAATGAAAAATAAACCGTTTTTTATACACCAAATGTGAATCTAACCAAGAAATATAGAACATTTCTTTTAGATGTCGATCGTTTGGATTTCTGACAACTAATATGGTACTGTGGTTCTTTAGTTCCTAGTTAATTATGGTTACTTAATATATATATATATATATATATATATATATATATATATATATATATATATATATATATATATAGACAGGCACACACAAACACACACACTTAGATTCAAACGAAAACAATTATGAAATCGAGAATGCAAGAATGAATGTTCACAATCTATTTTGGAATACTATTTTTATCTATTTTTTTTCAAATATATTAAAATTTTTAATTTTTTATTCACTATAAATTAGCATTATTATAAATAATATTTATTTAAAGAAATATGAATGTTTTGAATTTGTTTTGATAAATTTTTTATTATATGTATTAATCACATATGATTAAACTTTGTTATTCAAATGTGACTAAATCGTATTCTCACAATCTCAATTATAGATGTACACATATGCATATTTGATACATATTTAAATGTGCATATATGTGCATTTCAACAAAAAAAATGTTTGTTTAATCTTTTTTTGAGCTTAGGTGTAGCCTAGAAGTAACATTTGGAGTCCAATGATGATATTGGTTTCGAAAAAGGTTTGTTGAATTA